TGTGCAAGGCATAGGGAGACACAAAGCAATTCCTGCTTTCAAGAAGCTATATTCTACTGAGAGACACAAAACCATAAAAGACAAAACACAAGAGACTACTAATAAATTGGAGGGAGGGGAGAAGGTGGGGTAAAAAAGGCTTTCTCTAGGCAAAGGTGCATGATGTGAGTTTTGAAGGAGGCTAGGGATTCTAAAAGGTAGAGGTGAAGAAGAAGTACATTGTCCAGGCACAGGGGACAGCCTGTGCAAAGGCAAAGAAGTGATCAAAGGAGTGTCAAATTCTGGGAGCAGCAACTAGCCAATTTGGCTGGAACGTAGACTTCATGAAGAGTAGTGCAATGCAACAAAGCTGGAAAGGCAGGCTGGAGACAGACTGGAAGGATTAAGCTGAGCAGTTCAGAGTTAATCTTCAAGTCAACAGGATCCTGCTAAAGATTCTTGAGGAGAGAGTGACATAGACAGGCCTGTGCTTTAGAATAGGAAGATTACTGGCAGCTCTGTGGAAGAGGGACTGGAGACTGGAGAACCTTTCTCAGGATGGTCAAACAATTAAGATCTAGTGAGCAACAGATAGATTGTGAAACAAAAAAAATATGGGGGCCACCATGGTTATGACCTCACATAAAAATTACAGCCACCTACAAGAATCACGAATAAATCACAGAATCTCAGAGTTGGAAAGGACCTCAAAGGCTCATGTCATCCAACCCATAAATGAATACAAAGTCCCTCTACAACCCATCCACAAGTGGTTATCCAACCTTTGCTTGAAGATCTCTACTGAAGGAGTACTTACTATCTCTCAAGGCAATCAATTCAACTTTAGGATAGCGTGAATTGTTAGGAAGTTTTTTCTTGTATCAAGTCTAAATCTGCCTCTCTGCATATCTACCGCATTGTTCCTAGTTCAGCCAGCTAAGGCCTAGAACAAATCTAACTCCTCCTATTAACCTGTTCTTGATCATGCCATGCTAGGTCTTTAAAATCTTTTTCTAGATTGCTTACAGTATGGTTAAGATAGAATGACTAGAAGAGAATACCTTGGATCAAAGAGGAAAATAGGGGAGAAGAATGGTCCCTTAACTCCACCAAGTAGGAAAGTCTATATAGGCAGCTTACAGTCAGGATAGTAACCTAGGAGTTCAGATAGGAAATGCCATTTCTCCTCTAGGACCTAAAAGTATGTTTGCTGAGAAATAAGATCAACTCATCAAGATGTTACTGGGACATTAGGCATAGGATAGCCATACAGTTTCAATGTAATAAAGGAAGATAAACACTATGTAGCTTTATAAGTAACTCTGGAACTCTGTAAATCTTTAAAACACTTGTGAGCCCTAGTTAGTAGTAATTAGAAAAAAACCAAACTGCACAGAATTGTATGAAATTGGAGGAACTGGTAAAAACTGCTTTGTCAAGAAGTTATATAAGCACATTAACCAGCAAATAAATCAAGAAATATTTAAGCACCTACTAAGTACAGAGAGCCCTTTGCTAGCTGCTAAGGGAGATAGAAAGTTTAGGATTATAGACTCAAAGCTAGCAGGGATCATCTTCTATTCCACTATCTTCATTTTATAAATCAGGAAACTGAGGCCCAGAGAAATGAAATAACTTGCTCAAGGCCACAATGGCAGTAGCAAAGCTTGAGATTTGAAGCCCAGTTTCTCTGATTCTCTACTGAACCACTGTTACTGCCTCCCCGCCCCTACCCCCATCCCTTTCCCCAACTAGTAGGCTGGAAGACAGCCTGGTACAGTGGAAGGGGCACAGCAATGGAAATCCCAACACCTGAGTTTGAACCCTGGCTCCGATGTTACCAGTTATGTGACTATGGGCTAATTTCTTAATTTCTCTGACTTCATTTGTAAAATGGGATAAATACTCACATAACTCATAGTTAGCTCATACAGCTTTATGAGCAAAGTATTTGTAGATCTAAAACACTTCAAGTGTATGATTTCACTGGTGTAGGTACTCCCACGGTAGAGAACAGACTGTTCTGCTCCTATAACTTAGTACATGATTTTGAGGATTCGCTGTGGCCAAAAAATTGATCATCTTGGGGCTAACCTGATCCTGAATCTCTGATCTTAGTTAGCTAGGTTGATCTGTTGGCAGTAGACCTACAGGCCAACTGTAGATCCCTATTTGAAATTGTCTCACTTGATAGGACCTGCCAGAGCTTATGCTCCCCTGTCATAGGCTTTGAGAATCCCAAGCCACCTCCATACCAGGCTGAGATAGTGGAGGAGAGCTTCAGTGGGCCTTAAAGTGCCTTATTAAATGAGTTGTTGTGCCCCTAGCTGGATGGTGAAAGTGAGAAATGCTATAGATTCCCCTGGATCAACAGGAGAGGTAGAAGCCAAATGGGTGGCTGTGGTCAACTCCAGGATCATAGTCTCCTGAATTCCTGGATTTGGGGTATGATGGGAAGAGATATTTCAACTCAATTCAACAAACACTTATTAAGAACCTACTGTATATAAGGCACACTAGTAGGAACTCAGAATATAACAACGAAAGAGGAAATAGTCTCTGCACTCAAGGAGTTCAGAATCCAGTACGGAGGAATAAGAGAGGTACACAAATCAGAATACAAATTAGAATATGTGATCTGAGAAGAGGAGTATAGTGGTTGATCAGATGGTAGTGAATCAGGGAAGGTAGCATCTAGGTCCTAGATTCTAGGAGGTTGCACCTGAGCTGGGTAGGAAAAAAAAGATTTCATCACGTAAGGAAAATCTGCAGACACAGGGTGGCATGTACAAGGCATGGAGATGGGATAGGGCTAGAAGAAACCCAGAAACATTAAGTGGTCCAGTTTGGCTGGAGTGTAGGATGCATGAAGGGAAATGGTATGAAATAAGGCCTGGAAGAAGGCTGGAACCAGATAGATTAGGGAATGCCTTGAATGCCAGGCTAAGAGTCTGTACTTTCAGTAGTAGACAAAGGGGAAACTCCTGAAGGTATAAAAGCAGGGGAATAATGTAATCAGACCTGTGCATTAGCAGTAGTATTTGGTAGCTGTGTAAAATGAGTAAACTGGACAAAGGAAAGGATAGGAAGAAAGACAGTTTCATTTTTGTTGTGTTGAAAGAGTATCTAGAAGCAGGAGAACTGAGATAGAGGTAAGAGATTAGTCACCTATGTACTGAACTAGTTTAAACCACTAGCCTAGTATTAATGGATGTAGAGAAGAGGAGCTATTAAAGGTGCTGGTAGAACAATATGAGTGGTAGGAGGAAAATCCTAAGAGTGTGGTCAGAGGGCACATACAAGAGTGTTAAGAGCAGTAGACTGAGGGCAATCAAGGCACCAGAAAAAAAAGGGAAGCGCATTACCTTTGGTTCTATGGAGGTGGGAGGAATATTCTCTCTAAATGGTCCTTTGGTGACATGGATTAAGTTAACTAGAGTATTTGCTTAAATGTCAGACCCAGGCTTTTCACTTTCCTTTGCTTGACTCCTGATTCCTATTTGCTGATTCCCAGCAGAGCTTATCTTAGGTATTGGTGCAGATCTGTGGCTCTATACTTACTGGAACACTCTCCTAGTTCAATGCCACCCAGCTCTAACCCCAAGCTCTAGCGTTAGTCACTCCTCACACAAATGGCTGTGAGAATGGGCCTGCTGAGTTGAGAGATGGTCAGACACGGTAAGACTAACAGTCCTTCATTAATCTCAATTATTTCGCAACCGGTAAGGTCACCTCTGCGTCACCATCATATTACACCGTGCTTCCCTTCACTTCTTGTACTAGCCCTGGATCAGTGACCATTTTCAAGTTGCCTTTTCTTGACTACTGATTTGAGATTTCCCAAATTATATGGAAATATCACAATGCTTATGATGTCAAGGGCCAGAGCCTGGAAAGAAACCCTGTGATGCAGTAGGAAAAAAAAAAAAGCACTGAACTGGGAGTCGGGAGATCTGGGGTTTAGTTCTAGCTTTGATATCAACTAAGTGACCTGGGCAAATAATTTCTTTCCTGGAGAATTCCAAGAGCTCAGTTTTCTCATCTGTAAAAATGTTTTCTAAAGTCCCTTCCAGTTCTATCATTTCAACTTGGCTGAGCTCTCTACATAGGCTGAATAATAAAAGGAGCCACTGGAACTCAGTCATAGGGTACCATCCCTACATTTTACTTGTCACCCTTTTGGTAGTCTGGGGAAGCCTGTGAACCTCTCTTCTCAGAATGTTTTACAATGCATAAGATAAAGCACATAGGATTACAAAAGAAACCAGTTATGTTGAAATAGAGATGTAATTTTCTTCCTTCACCCCAGTTCATGGACTCTTTGAAATCTATCCCAACCCCTTGTGGTCCTGTGGACCCCAGGTTAAGAACTCCTGCCTAAGTAGACTATCTTTTTTCCTTAGGCTCTAAATGCAGCAACACCAACAAACACAAATTCTTTACTGTCTCTAAGATAGCCTTCTCTCTTACATGCTCTTAACAAATAACCACTCAGCAGTTTTCAGGATCACTAGCTAAAATCCATCTTTCTCCTTGGTTACCGCCTTCCTCTCCAACCTCAGTACATACCAAGCTAGGAATGTACAGAGAGCTATACCACCTATATTTAAAGCAACACAGAATTTTATGGCAATTAACAATCTATATACTATACCTAAAGAACCTAAAGCATCTTTCTGGAATGCCTGTGTCCTCAGGCCAAATACTCCCCAGTTTGGAAATCTTTCCCTTTCTGCCAAATGTGACAGACGGGTCCTTTAATCTTCCTTTGGCTTCCCTCTTAGTTTGCCTCCCCCCCCCCCACTACAAAGCTCCAACTTTCGATCTCGGCACCTGCCAGGCCAGTTCCTCTACACTCTTCCTTCCCACGGTCAAGTTCTGGGGGAGCTCCTGCAGATGGGACCCAAAGCGCCTTCTGAGTCCTGGCGGGGTCATTTCGCCAAACATTTTGCCAGGTGCAAAACCACTCCTCTCCCAAGACAGCAAGTATTGATTAAGCACCTACTGTGTGCCATGCGGGGTAAGTGGTCAGTCCGGGAGATCGGTAATGTTCAGGGCCAGACCCCGGCCGAAGGCAGGCGAGGGTGGGCTCTTCAGCATCAGGGGGCACCTCCTCCACCGGACTGAGCTCACGCTCGGCCCCGGGGGCCCTCATCTCCAGGGATGGGGGGTAGCCACGCCCCGGGGGCCCAGGGCGGGGGCGAGGCCAGGTGGGGGGAGCTGCAGGGCGTTGCCAGCTGCAGGCGGCCCCTGGAGGAGATCGCGCTCCGCCGGGGGCCCCCTTTGCCCTGCCCCCTCCCGGCCCGGCCGCGCCCCAAGCTCATACCCCACCGCCGTCCCCACCGCTTACCCGGGGACTCGCTCCGGCTCCGGTCCGGGACTTACGACGTGACCCCCGCCCTGCGCATCCCCGCCTGCTCGGGAGCTGGGGCAGCTGCTGCGCCTTCGCTCCCGGGGGGCTTCGGAGGGAGGGTCCTACCTTGAGCTCCCTCCACCTGCCCCACCCGGGGGCCGGACTCGCGGGGGCTGAGCGAGAGACCCCAGCCCGGGGCGAAGCCCCCCGCCTGCACCCGCCGAGGCAGGCTCGGCTCGGTTCCGCTCGCGCGGCGGCTGTTACCGGCTGCGGCGGCTGCGGCCCCACCGTTCCAACAGCCGAGACTACTCCGGCCCCGCGCTGGCAGAAGCGCCCTCGGCTGGTGGGCGGGAGGGGGGCGGGCCGGGAGCTTGTGCGCCCCCTCCCCTTCCCCCTCTCGACAGGCGGGCGGGAGCGCGCTGGAAGGCGGTGGCGGGGTGGGGGGAGCAGAGCCGCAGGGACGGGTACGAGGCTCAGCTCGCGCCGCCTGGTGGAGGGGTAAGGGAGGAGGCGCACGAGGTGGGGAGGGAGGGGGCGAGAGTGAGGAAGAGCGCGTGCTGTTCGCTAGCGAAGAGGGTGGCGGGCTGGCGGGCTGGGGCAGGAGTCGAGGCTACGGGGGTGGGGGGGAAGCGGTGTAGCAGCTTCGGCCTGACGCAGGCGGGCTGGGGAATACCAATGAGCGCCCCCCCGCCAAGCCCGGGGACTGCAGAGCCTGTGACTGCACCAGCAAGGTCAGTCACAAGCCGAGCCTTCCCCTGCTAGGCCCCTCGGAGGGGGCTGTGTGCATGTATGCATGCGTGCGTGCATACATGCATTCATTCCAGCAGCAGATTGCAGGGAGTTTGTGGAAGTATGCATGCGTGTATGCATTGGTTCATTCATTCATTCATCTGTCCATTCATTCGTTCATTCATTCTTTCACGGGCCCTCATCAACTTCCCCTCCAGACTCAAGTCTCTGGAAGCATCTTAGAGGGAGGGGGAGGTCAGAGGAACTGTGACTCCTGGAGGAGGCGCCAATCCAACCCAATCTGAGCTTCATATTAGAGCATTTGGACCTAAGGAACCCGATACAATCGAAAAACTGAAACTGAACTCAGACCCCTCCCCCACCCTTCTATAAATGCGGGGGGGGGGCGGGGCGGGGCTGCTGTTGGGGTCCAGCCGGCTTCACCTTTGGCTGTGGCTTTGCATTCGTGGTGGGTGCACAGGTATCTTACGTTAGAAAGCACTCCCACGTGGACCCGAGCCGTGAAGCGTGAAGCTGCAGTGGAGCCAGATTGGCAATTTGAGAGAGTGAAGCTCTGCATTGCACATCTGTCTGGGGAAGCGGGAATGACTGATTAGGAGGTTTAGCTTTGGTTAGGAGATACCTTCCAGCTCTTTTTAGGCCAACCCCTCGATTTTCAGGGGAGGAAACTGAGGCCCAATGAGGATGTGATTTTTCCAAGGTCACAAAAGCGCTAAATAGAACAACTAGAGTTGTTCCCCACCCGCTCCCTTGGAAAGTGTAGGATTTTGTTCTCTGATCTTCCCACTTACTCTGGGACTTTTCGCTCCCTTTCCTTGACCTTTTTCAGGCAGACCCATCCAATCACAGGAGCTCATTTTCAGTAGCTCTGTCACAGTTTTTAAACATGACATGTATTCTGTTTGTTAACTTCTGCTAACTGTTGACTAGTCACATTAATCCATCCAGAAGCATTTATTAAGCACCTTTTATATGGCAGTAGCTGACCTTGAGAAGCCTAGTCTGGGGGAAGAGGGGGATCACATGCACATTTATAGGTATATATGCAAAACAGATACCAGATAAGTTTGGAGGAAAGGCACTGGCAGTTGGTGAGATAGGAAAGGCTTCATGTAGAAGGTGATGTTTGAGCCAAACCTTGAAAGAAACCAACGGTTCTTGGAGAAGTGAGGAGGGAATACATTCCGCACAAGAAAGAGCAGCCCATGCAAAGATATGAGGATGAAGTGCTGTGTTCAAGGAACAGCCTTGGTATTCATGAAGAGGAATAACATGAAATAAGGCTGTTTGGAGAGGTAGATTGGGGCCAGCCAGGTTGTGAAGGGCTTTAAATGCCAAGCAAAGGCTTATATTTTATCCTAGAGTAATAGGGAGCCGCTTGAGTTTAGAGAGTAAGGGAATGACAGTCAGATCTGTGCTTTTGAATATTACTAGGCAACTGTGTGGAGGGTAGATTGGAGTGGGGAGAGACCTGAGGCAGGAAGACAAAATGAGAGGCTGGAGGAGTAGTTCAGGCAAGAACAGAGGTGGTGCCTATATAAGGGTAGGGAAAGGGGCCTAAGCAAGAAATGTTGGGGAGGTAGGAATGACAGAGTTTGGTGGAATTGGTGAGGTCTGGTAACTGGGCAAGTGGTAGGAGGGGGATTACTAGTTGAGGATGACACAGTGGCTGCAAACCTGGGCGGATAGAGGAGCTGTGGTACCCTCAGTAGGAACAGGAAAGTCTGGAGGAGGAGGGAATTTAGGGGGAGAAATCATGAGCTCTCTTGGAGTTTGAGAAGCCAGTGATTGATTGATTTGGATCTGGGAATCATCCTCATAGAGATAACTAAGCCCTCGAGAGCTGATGACACCAGCCCTCTGGGTACCATTTCCTGACATAATTAATAAGGCTTCTATTTTTAAGAGCAAGGTCTGTCTAGCTGTCTTTACACACTTTCCTGCCTATGTGCCTTTGCTTATGCTTTTTCCTATATCAACAATGTCTCTCTCCCCCCTTCACCTGTTGGATTCCTACCTGTTGTTTAAAGCTCAGTGTAAATGCCATCTCCTCTGTGAATCCTTCCCTGATCTGTAATGACTCCCCTCCCCCCCCGCCCCGTTTGGAATTCATATAACATTTTGTTTTGCAAATCTAATTAATGTATCATGTAATATCATATATTGTAATTATTCGTGATTGTGTCTTATCTTTCATTAGGCTGTAAGCTCTGTGGGAACAGAGATTGTATTTTAGCTAAATTTACATCTCTCACAGTGCCTAGGACAATCCTTGTCCTAGGCTTGTCCACAATAGACACTTGATAAGTGTTTTTTGAAAGAATGAATGCCTACTTTATGTCTAGACTGCCCAAGATTCTTTTGACAACATTTACTCAGGAACTTTATACAACTGATTAATACAATGGATTTTTCTGTTCACCTATCATACATTCTTTGAATACCTAGTGTTCAAAGCTAGGATGGAAGGTTGTACCAAAAAAGAAAGTGATATGTGCCTGAAACAAAAAAATTATAAAAAGACATGAATAAGTGCCAATGATATTCAATAAACCCCCTGATTTACATTATTATAACTTACTTTTCCTGGTGCTCAATTGTCTATATTAATAATGTACTGAGTTATGCAACCCTCACTCCTTTCTCGGTATGTTTGATAAATAAACATCTACATCATTTGCTGTGACAGCCCAGACAAGCAGGTAGGCAGTGGTGTTTGGGACCCCCTTCAGAGCTGAATTACTCCAGTAACTCTATAGGCAGAGGACCCTGTAAAGGGTGATGAGCTTCTTTCTGGGTTAAAACTAGAGCTATCAATGAAGAGGAAGATGTCACAAATCTGCTCCTTAAGAAATCTCTGCTGACTTCCTGGAATATGATAATGTATAAAATGCATAAAATATACATTATTGCTTATCTAAAAGTATAATAAGCCATAGCTTAATTTATTTATATTTTTCTGCCCTTTGCAGCATTTCTTTCTCCTCTGCCCAAGTGATTTTAGGATATACTAGATCCTTGGATTGAAGAGAGACAGAGCATATGATTGATCACAGTGGGATAGGATACTCAGAAGAAACTTCTTGAAAAAACTGAGCTTTGAGCTGAGTCATAATGGAGAAAAAAGAGCATCAGGCAGCCTAGGAAGAGGAAAGGGAATGAACAAAGCCCTGTGGACGAGTGTGTGAGATTTGGATGGGGCTAACCTGATTAGAATAGAAAGGATGTGATGGGAAGTAGTTTGTAACATATTCTTATATCATTTGGTCTTTTGTTGCTTTACGTGTGCTTGGCCCTGGAGGCTGTGGTGGTGTGTACTCTCCCCCTCCAGGATGGGTCTGGACCCATGAACAAGAACTAGCTTCAGTCCTGGGGGAGTCTGACAACCTAAGAGAAGGGTCAGCCTCTTTCTCACACTCTTTGGCTCTTTATAATCCTAACCTGGAGCCCCACCGAGAATTGCTTAAGGTTTTAGTTTGGGCTCATGCCCAAGATCTCCTCCAAAAAGTGGGGAGTAGAAAAGGACTCAATCTACAATGCAGATAAGGCCAGTTATTTATTTCCTCCAAAAGAAATGTTTAACACACAAAACCCACAAGTGCCCATTGCCAGAAGAAGCCAGTAACCTTAGCTATTCTTATTCTTTTTCCAGAGGTTGATACTCAAAACATCAGCACATGATGCAGTTTGCAGGACTGCTGGATTTCACATTTCACCTCTTCTCACCATGTTCTTGTCTTCTGGAAAGCCTGACCAAGGGTTGATTGATCTTCTCCTGTCGGTGGTTATCCTCTCCAATGCAGAAACTCTCTCTACTGCCTCTAAACAAGGGACCCAGGATCTCCGGGTCTTTTGAACTTAAAGGTTGTCTCCGAGGCTGGACATGTCTATCTCAGAAATTACTTTTCATAAACCTGTACTCAGGAAAGGAATAAAACAGAAGCAGCAGCCCCGGGCCCAAGGCCTAGTCTCTGTCACCTAATCTTGAGCATGCTGGAGCTGCCGTCTGCCAAGTTTACTGTTTCTGCAGGTCATCAGCCCCACCCTCACCCCTTGAGATGCTGACATCTCCAGATAGAAGAGAGGTAGAAGGTAGAGTCACTCCCCTTTTAAAGTCCCCCGATACTGTTCTTGCTCAGTGTCAATAAGGGGACTGTTTCCTCATCCCAGAGTCCTTCCCCAGAAATGGCTCCGCATTTCCATGGAGTGTGCCCCAGTCTAACTCCTGCTGTGTGTATGTTTTGTTTTCCCAACCAGACTGATGCTTTTCAAAAGTCCGGATTTGTGGTTTCAATTTCTTTTTCATCTCCCTTAAGTAGAGAACTGTGCATATGACAGATAACTGATGTTCAGTGAATACTTATTGATCAAACGATTGAGAAGCAAAAATGAGACCAGTTATAAATGCGTGGCGAGAGGGGCACTGTATTTTCTTAAGCAGGGTAATACTTCACTGGGCCTATGATGTCTTCAGGGTAGGTATTCCCTTCAGTGGTGCAGATCTCAACCTATCCACGCATGCTTTCTCATCCTGTGACTCTTCTCCGTTTCTTCACATACATCCTCCGTAAGGGATCTAAAATTAAAACAAAAAGCAGAGGAATAATGCGGTTGAAACTGCATAGTGACTCCTAGATAAAAGACTAAATGGTAGTTCATATTTTTTCTTGCCTACTGTTTAAAAAAACATTTTTTATCTAATTATAAAGAAGAGAGACACTTAACTTAGGTGTTAGTCCTTTAATTTTATAACAGTTCCTTGTGTATGGGAGAAAGAGAAACACAGTATCTCATTAATTCCTGCTACTCTCCCATCTTAATAAAGTAGCTTATTAGCTTTTAGAGATAGGTGCCTCACAAGAACATCTTTCCTAAATTGGTTTTGGGATATAGTTCACTGAAGTGCTTAAGATGTTGCTTGCTTATGCCAAATGCTCCTATTTACTGCTGAAACACAGGCTCCATGCTTCTCTTCTTACTTGATGACCTAGAATGAGGAATTACTATGGCAACCAACGAGGAATCACTGGATTCCCTTCAGAGAAGTCCCAGGGCTTTTCCGTCTGGAATTTCTAGGCTGCTCCATTTGCTCTTTATCCACCAAGAAACTGGCAGGAGAGGCAGCTAGGTGGTGCAGTGGATAGAGCACTGGCCCTGGATTCAGGAGGACCTGAGTTCAAATCCAACCTCAGACACATAACACTTACTAGCTGTGTGACCCTGGGCAAGTCACTTAATCCCATTGCCTAGCCAAAAGAAAAAAAAGAAAATGGCAGGAAGGTTTCTCCCAGTAGATGTTAGTCCCATCAATTGTATCTTGGCACCATTGTCAGAAGTGAGATGCTGAGTTGGATGGATCATTGGCCTGACCTACTATGCAATGCCCTTCTATATTGTTTCTCAGAAATAAACCATTATTTTCCAAGGGTGGCAAAGGAATATTTCTCATAATTAGTTGTTCAGAAATGGTTAATGTTTAGGGGCTACTAAAAGGTCACTTCCTTGAGTCACTGTCAGGTTTAAGCCAGCAATTGCCTCTCTCTTCTTCATGGGAAGATTAATCCACAATTTATTTAGTGTCGTCTAATTTTTTGCCTCTTGAATGGGGTGTTTTCTTTTAGTCCTCAAAGACTCACTGCAGCATCAAGAACCATGCCAAGCAGATAGTAGATGCTTAATGAAGGTCAATTGATGGATAAAGTTTTGTCAACTCTTTTATATTGCCTCTCCAGCCCTACTTTGTAAATTTTATTTTAAAAAGTTTTGATCTCCAAATATCTTTTTATGCATTCCTTATCACTAGGTTCTCTCACTACTTGGTGGGAGAGGTGAGGTTAAATTTGCCCATCAGGTAGTAAGCACAGGATATTCTTTTTTAAAATTAATTCGTTTATTTTTAGTTTTCAAGATCCACAAGATCTTGAGTTCCCAATTTTTGTCCCCATCTCCACCCCAAGATGGTGTACATTCTGAATATCCCTTCCCCTGATCTTCCCTCCCTTCTATCACCCTCCCCCTTCTCTTTTCCCCTCCCCTTTCTATTTTCCTGTGGGGCAGGATAGATTTCTATACCCCATTGCCTGTATGTCTTATTTCCCAGTTGCATGTAAAAACAATTTTTAACATTTGTTTTTAAAACTTTGGGTTCCAAATTCTCTCCCTTCCTTCCTGCCCACCCACCCTCACTGAGAAGGCAAGCAACTCGATACAGGTTATGCATGTGTAGTCATGCAAAACATTTCCATAATAGTCATGTTGTGAAAAACTAACTATATTTCCCTTCGTCCTATCCCATCCCCTATTTATTTTATTCTCTCCTTTGACCCTGTCCTTTCTCAAAAGTGTTTGATTTTGATTACCTCCTCACCCAATCTGCCCTCTCTTCTATCATCCCCCTCTCTTATCCCTTTCCCCCTTATTTTCCTGTGGGGTAAGATAGATTTCCATACCCAATTGAGTGTGTATGTTATGCCCTCCTTAAGCCAAATCCAATGAGATTCATTCCATTCCCTCTCACCTCCCCCCTCTTCCCCTTCACAGTTAAAAAGCTTTCTCTTCCCCTTTTTTATGTGAGATTTAATTTACTCCATTCTCCCTTTCCCCTTTCCCTGTAAAATCCTCTCTCACCTTTTTTATTTTTTTAGATATCATCTGTTCATTTCAACTCCATCCTGTGCCCTCTGCCTGTATATATTCCCTTCTTTACTACCCTAATACTGAGAAAAATCTCATGAGTTACAAATATCATCTTTCCATGTAGGAATGTAAACAGTTCAACTTTATTAAGTCTCTTATGATTTCGCTTTCCTGTTTACCTTTTCATACTTCTCTTGAGTCTTGTATTTGAAAGTCATATTTTCTATTCAGCTCTGGTCTTTTCATCAAGAATGCTTGAAAGTCCTCTATTTCACTGAATATGCATTTTTCCCCTGAAGGATTATACTCAGTTTTGCTGGGTAGGTGATTCTTGGTTGTAATCCTAGTTCCTTTGACCTCTGGGAATATCATATTCCAAGCCCTCTGATCCCTTAATGTAGAAGCTGCTAAATCTTGTGTTATCCTGATTGTGTTTCCACAATACTTGAATTGTTTCTTTCTGGCTGCTTGCAATATTTTCTCCTTGATCTGGGAATTCTGGAATTTGGCTATAATATTCCTGGGAGTTTTCCTTTTAGGATCTCTTTCAGGAGGTGATTGGTGGATTCTTTTCATTTCTATTTTACTGTGTGGTTCAAGAATGGGATATAACTCCTTAAAAATTAGAATGGAGCAAATGGAAGCTAATGACTTTATGGGAAATCAAGGCATCATAAAACAAAACCAAAAGAATGAAAAAAATAGAAGACAATGTGAAATATCCCATTGAAAAAACAACTGACCTGGAAAATAGATCCAGGAGAGAGAATTTAAAAATTATTGGACTATCTGAAAGCCGTGATCAAAAAAAAGAGCTTAGACATCATCTTTCAAGAAATTATTAAGGAAAACTGCCCTGATATTCTTGAACCAGAGGAAAAAAAGAAATTGAAAGGCATTCTTCTCCTCATCGGCTTTTTGGACCTTTTGCCATTTGGGTTAATCTGTTTTTTAAGGTGTTATTTTCTCCAGAATTTAGCAACCTGTTGACTTGTTTTTCATGATTTTCTTGCGTCATTCTCATTTCTCTTCCAAGTTTTTCCTCTGCTTCTCTTACTTGCTTCTCAAAATCCTTTTTGAGCTCTTCCATGGCCTGGGACTGATTCATATATTTCTTGGAGGCTTTGGATGTAGGAGCTTTGACTTCTTTGTCACCAAAGTAAGACATTATGGTCTGACTTTTTTGTGCTGTTTGCTCACGTTCCCAGCCAATTAATTGACTATTAAACTCTTTGTTAAGGTAGGGGTCTGCTTCTAGTTTGGAGAATGTACTGTCCCAAGCTTTAGGGGTTTTGTGTAGCTGTTTTCAGAGATACTTCTAGAGATCTATAAATTTTCAGTTCTTCCAAGGTGATATGATCAAAGGCAAGGTGTTTATTCCTTTCCTGGCCTGTGCTCTGGTCTGTGAGTGACCACAAGCATTCTTTTCTGCTTTGGAACTGTGAGGATTCCTTCTTCAATACCACCATAAACTCCACCACACCAGTGTTCCTCCTCTCCCCAGAACCACCACCCAGGACTGTGACTCAGATCCAGGCATGGGCAAAGCAAGAAAATCCCGCCTCAGCACCAGCAAAGAGATCCCTGCAATCCCCCTCTGATCAGCCACTCGATCTCCCCTCAATCTATGGGCTGAGAGCTCTAGAAGCAGCCACCACCCTGGGGCTGTGCTGGGACTGGGGCTGGACCATGCTCCTCTCTCACCAACGTCTGACAGACCTTTCCTACTGACCTTCTAAGTTGTCTTTGGCGTTTGTGGGTTGAGAAGTCTGGAAACTGCCGTAGCTCCCCTTGATTCAGTCCCCTGAGGCCTGCTTCAGGTTCACTGAGGCTCTGTCTTTGCCTGTGTGGCCCACATTGAACTGCGCTCCTCTCCCAGCCCAGCGCAACAGACCTTTCCAATCAATCATCCAGGTTGTCTTGGGCTGGAAATTTGTTTCACTCTGTCTTTTTGTGGGTTCTGCTGCTTTAGAATTTGTTTAGAGCCATTTTTATAGGTATTTGGAGAGGGTTTGGGGGAGAGCTCAAGCAAGTCACTGCTTTTATTCCGCCATCTTGGCTCCACCCTCCAGGATGTTTTTTACACAACAAATATTTTATAGTAGTTTCTCTCACAAATAGAACTCTGGTGCAAAGTAGAACAGTTAAGCAAAACTAGCTGACCCTCTTTAATAACATTTGCAATATTCAGCATCCATGGCCTTTCATCTCCCAACTAAGAGAAGGGATGTATGTTTCATCATCTGTTTTCTAGGACTGCGGTTGGATGTTGCAATTAATCCGAGTTTGATTGCTTCTAGTGTTGTTTAAATTATAGGGCTGTACTTTTTGTGGGTACCAAGTTCCCAGTTCTGCTTGCTTTACTTTGCATTAGTTCATACAAGTCTTCCTAGGTTTCTCAGAATTCTTCATATCCATTGTTTCTTATGATACAATAATATTCCATTACATTTGTACGCCATAATTTGCTCAGCCATTTCTGAATTGATGGTTATACATTTTGTTTCTAGCCTTTTGATACCACGAAAGTGTTGCTATGAATATTTTGCTATATATGAGACCTTTCTTTGACTTCCTTGGGACGTATGCCTAATAATAGGATTACTGGGCCAAAGGGTGTGAATAATTTAATAACTTTCCTCACACAATTCCAAATTGTTTTCCAAAATGTTTGGACCAATTTACAGCTCCACCAACAGTGAGTTAGTGTTTCTGCCTTCCCATAGCCCCTCTAACACTATTTCTTTTTTCATCTTTCCAATTTGATAGGTGTGAGGTAAAACCTCAGAGTTGTTTTAATTTGCATTTCTCTAATTATTAGCTATGTGGGGCATTTTTC